ATGCCCTGTAATTTAGAATGTGATGAAACTGCGATTGAACTGTGTGTGAAACATATATTTTTATTCGTTGTCCTAGTTCTTGTCAAGTAACCTCTGCATATGTATGTATATATAGTTTATATTTTATTTTTATCATTTATATTTTATACACTTATACTTCACATCTTATATTTCATGTTTATATTGATATTCATTTATGATATTGTGTTTGTAACAAGAATTTATTCTTAAACAATAAACATATTATCAATCAATCAATCGCGATCAGTTCCTGAACTGAACACGACGGCGATAACCATCCCCGCATTCCCGATTTCTATTCGTCACCGTAACATGACTTTAAATTTAATTTTATGACTCTTCAGCCGATCATAAAACTTGGTTAGTGAAAATTATCTAATACGAACCGCCAATTCTGCAGTCCACGTGGACGCCACCTTGAAGAGTGCACAATAACGTTTACTTCGACTGTACTAACTGTACAAGCGGTGAATGCAATAAGACTAACGCCATCTATGTGTTATATATGTACCTGTACCTGTACATATTCCATATGTTGCTATACTATGAAAATCACTTATTTGTGTCTTCCAATTTTGTTTCAAGTTCATATACACACATCGGAAAAGTCTAGGGATATTTTTAAAAATGGCAATAATTTTTTTTTAGATCGCTTTAGGGAAAAAAAAGTTGACGGGTGATTTCATGCATTTATTTTTATGATATTTAGTATGTTATAAAAATATCCCTAGACTTTTCCGATGTGTGTATATTCCATTGTCTTGAGTCAGTTTTATCTCTACCTTTCACAAGAAAGGTTTTGTCATCTGCGTATGCACTTGCTGACATTTTTTTTGAGGAGGTCGTTTGTGTAGGTGATGAATGAAATTGGCCCTCAAATAGAATCTTCCCATAAAAAGTAACTTCATTATAACCTTGTTCTCGACGGTATTTTTCATTATAAAATCGAGCATTATGTTAGCTGACGTTACAGAAGATCAGCAAATACAAGTTTCTGATCAAATGTAACCCCGAGCTCTTATATGTTATGTTTGCCTAGTGAAGTTGAATCTATTTTCTACAGCCGAATATAAAAAAATATTTTCTTGTAGTTTCGGTTCAGATTGATTATACGACTATAGCACAAATCCGGGCCGTATATGTTTCCTAAGTGACTTACGTCTCCGTTTGAATTTCTGCCGGTGCAGATGTGTCTGATCACAACACAACAAAGTTTTTGTTTCGGGGTTGAAATTAGATTATTTTAATGTATTTCCACGTGTTAAAACCGAAAGTGACCATAAAAATTATATATTAGCTCTTGTTTTCAAGATATAGTATCATTATATTATATATATGTATATTGAGTTTTCAACAAATGAAATATTTCATCACCAACAGTTGGTACACATGTTTGTTTACATAACACCCCTCTCATCAGCTGTTCTTAAGTAGTAAACATAACCTATGTGAGTTTGTCAATTGTACGCACGTGGTTGCTATTGAAATTATCGTGTGAAGTTGATTTTTAAATTAATTTAAGTGCTGATCTGAAATGCCTCGAAAGTGTGTGAATTCTGTCGATAGCTTTTGCTATATATGTG